TTTCATAATGTAGATATCAAAATTCAAAATCCATGTATGATTTTTTTAAAATGAAAAGTGAATGTGAGTCATGTTTTCCGTTTTTAAATTAAATATGGGCTGAAAGAATAATTTTCCAGTTACTAGTGTTTATTTTGGAGACAAATGCTGTAAAACACTAATCAGTGTGTTTTTATAACTGAGGATATATGTATAAATCCCTGCGCTTAAAATGTCTTATGTAAGGTGACTTGGCACAGCCCTCTCGCTCTGTGTTTTCAGTGCTGAAGATGAATTGGAAAAGTTCCCTTTTGGAAAGCGGTATTAATTTTATTTTGTTCTAATCAAGTATATGATTCTGGAAATCTAACAAGCATAAATTCTGTGCGATGTATTTTTAAAAACAATAATTTTGGCAAAAAAAGAAATAAGTTATTCTAACCCAAATTGACCTGTTTTATCCTGTTTTTGTGAAGAAACAGCATCAACCTGAATGAAAACATTGATTATTTCAATTTATACAGCTGCCAATCTCAAATTCATGATTTTGGGCAGTAATTAAAAATAGCATAAGAACATAAAGTAAGAAAGAAATAACAGTATGCACTTAATCTGCACCCAAGGTTTAAAAAAAAAAACCACAACACAAATCAGCATAGCCATTGCATGAGCTGAGACTTATACTTGGATTATCAGACTTTGGGTAATGTTGTCCACAAATATTAGATGAAGAGTTATCAACTAGGGCTCATGAGGCCTCTAGATCAGGAGTCCCCAACCCCCGGTCCGTGGACCAGTACCGGGCCGAGGCATGCCAGCAACCGGGCCACACAAACAAGCAAAGCCTCATCCATGAGATGCAGGCAGAACACAAAACCATGCCCCCTCCAGTCCGCAGAAAAACCTCTCTCCACAGAACCGGTCTCTAGTGCCCAAAAGGTTGGGGACCTTTGCTCTAGATCAGTGTTTCTCAACCTTGACAATTTTAAGGCATGTGGACTTCAATGCTGGCTGTGGAATTCTGGGAGTTGAAGTCCACATGCCTTAAAATTGTCAAGGTTGAGAACCGCTGCTCTAGATAGTCCAATAAACTTCCATTTAAAAAACTAAAAATGGCCCAAATCCTATAATATTTTGTTTTCTTATGAGATGTTAGCTATTTTTAAATGTTGTAAAGTTAATTTCTTATTTTTTAAAAAAAATTGTCCGTGTGCTACACTCTTCATGCAATGTAGGAAAAATATATTTTATACAGGTAGTCCTCAATTTACAACAGTTCATTTAGTGACTGTTCCAAGTTACAAGCGGCACTGGAAACAGTGACTTATGACCATTTTTCACACTTATAACTTTTGCAGCATTCCCTTGATCATAATTCAGACACTTGGCAACTGACTCATATTTACGATGGTTGCAATGTCCTGGGGTCATGTGATTACTTTTTATGACCTTCTGACAAGCAAAGTCAATGGGGTAGCCAAATTCACTTAACAGTTGTGCTACTAATTGGTTTATTTAATAACTGTGGCAAGAAAGATCATAAAATGGAGCAAAACTAAAATATCTCACTTAGCTACAATGAGCTCAATTGTGATCATACAGGTAAGTCAAGGACTACCTGTAGGACGGCTGCATGTAAAAGTAGTAGCTGGAGGTGCATGAAGATGATGTGTAGTAACTTAAGAAGCCAGAACAATAGAGAAAAAGATATTAAATGACATATCTTATGTTCAAACTATGTATGTAGTTTTAGGCCTTTAATTTGATGAAAGCTATGAGCATCCTTTATAAATCTTTTAGTGCAGCTCTGCAAACCAGCTGTTGATTGAAAGTACAGGAGAGCAAATGATTGTGATGCATTTGAGTGTTTTGCAAAAGACTCTAGAACTTGTAATGTAGCAAAATTAATAAAAGTGTGCTGCCTTTTAAATAACAGAGCAGAGAACTTTCTGTGTCATGGGTACCTCTTCTATAGAGGTAAGAAATTAGCAATCTTTTTCTAAAACAGCACAGAGAAGATTAGATATTTTTTCTCATACTAGAGGTGATATAAATAAATAATTCATGAAATTATATTTTTTTTCCTTGAAACAAGGTGCAAGTAGTGATTATTAATACCATCATTGAATTCAATCCAGCTTGCAGTTGTTCCCAAAAAAATTATGGGAAAGGGAAAGGAAAGGAGTTACATTTTTTGAAAGGTAGGCATTCAAGTTCCATTTAAGAAGCTGTGCACCAAGAAAAAGAGGAAATAAAAATAACTTCAAATTACTCTAAGTAGCACAACTGTGCCGGAATTGGTATTTGAAGATCCACAGAATCCATAAGGGCACTTGAATGGCACATGTATGCAGCTTCTTAAAGCCAGTGCCTAAAGATTGTGGGTGTACTTTCTGCAGCTGCAGTGGCTTCTGGAGAAAAGATACATTATTTTTAGGAAAATGCACATAGATGCCACGTTCCCTGGCATACGGTACTAAAAAAGCATATATATTTTTTTGGCATCAGATATGAAATGCTATAGAGTTAAGACTTCTTGATAGAATGTATGATACTGTTTTGAAAGAGGCTATTATGCTTAATACGTTTAACCTGGTCTATACATATTTAAAATAGGACTTAAGAAAAACTTGCTTAATAATGCTGAAAATAAGTTACTACATCTAAGTTTTTCTTAATTCTGTTATCTTTTATTATCCTCATAGTTTGAACTTTTCGAAGTATCTTCACCAATAATTGGAAGCAGGAAATAAAACCAACTTGGCTTTCTCTCCAGTTGAAGTTTATTTTTTCATTAATTTATTTTGTTGATGGGATTTGCTACATATTATCATTCTTGTATTACCTCAATATAAAAAAAATACCCAAAGAAAGAAAAAAACCTAAAATCATCATACAGGGCATATATTCACAGGCAGACATTAAACATTCACAGTTGCACATTAAACATTTTGAAACAAATGGAAGCCATAATTTGTTACAATCATATATAGCTAATCTGTATTGATAAGCTATTGATTTGTAAATTGCTAATAACATCAATTCTGTAGTTCACTGAATAATTCTCTCCTGAGTCCTGCCAGGTGAAACTCCTTATTAGACAGGATCTGCAACATGCTCTTTGTGTTGGGTCTGAATAGTTTCCTAATTTGAACGTCATTTAGCCTTTTTTTAAAAAAAAAATCCTACTTTTAATACATTTAGGTATTTAATATGTTTAATATGTATTAAATTTAAATTTATTACATTTAGCAATTATGAACATAAATCCTGTTTCCCACATTAAAATGGCAAGTAAAGGTCCAAGGAATTCATTGTCAAAAAATAAAAATAAATTTCACATATGAACATTTGGCCCTATGGTAGCCATCTCTTTTCTAGTTATAAAATAAAGTTCTATTGTTTTAGTATTAATATGACTCATTAAGATGACTATATGACCTTTCCTACACTTTAACAATATTAAAACAGTAATAAAACTTGCAATAGATTTCAAGCCATTAGTGTCATTACAAATACAAAACTATAAAAGCTAAATAACAATTGAGACTAAGTATGGAAATTATTAGCTTATAGGACTTTATTTTTCAGTAAAACTAGATAAAGTAAGATCTACATAAAAATGGCATATTTTGTAAGGCTCAGTGTTGCTAAGGAGATGCTTCCTATGTTGCTATATGTGCATCATAGTTTTATGCTCATTTTGCCTGATGCAGCCAAGTAGCTACATGCTACAATGCATTAGTACATGATTGAAACTTTAATAAAGCACTAGCAATCAAACATTCAGGGCTTTAGAATCGCAACAATATTCAGCAAATGCAAGAAAATATGGTACTTTTGAAATACAGAAGGAGGAAGAGGAGGATTTGTGGTGAAATCAAATTGTGGTAAATACAAATGCCCTGAAATTCAGCTGAAAAGTTAATCCAGAGAGGCTGAATAGGGTGTGATCTTTGTGACAAATGCCATAAAATTCCTATACACTCCTTAATCTATTGCAAAGATATTCAGGAGGCACAAACTTTCCGTGTGTGTGTGTGTGTGTGTGTGTGTGTGTGTGTGTGTGTGTGTGTGTGTGTGTGTATTTAGTAGTATTGTGAGAACAGTGCAATAATCTAAGTTACTGCTTATGGAAAACTAGGAATGATTTATTAGCTTATATAACACTCTGGAAGGATCCCGTATCAGAACTTAGCATGACATAAATTCTAAGATCAAAAAGCAGCATGAATAGTTCTGCTTTAGTAATATGAAGTTAGGACTATAGCATCCCAAACCCTGCTGATCAAAATAATAAATTATTGTTGGAAAATAAGAACTGTTAAGACTAGGTTTAATGGAAAGTGGGGGAGATAGACATCTCTCATAAGTCTAGAAAAGTAATATTTTAAATTTGTCTAGGAAAACATGAAAACCAAACATATAACTTATTGAACAAGACTTATGTGCAAAATAGCCTCTCCCTTACTTCTTATTTATATCCCTGATCTCAGTTATCAGAGCAATGAAATCTTGCCCCCTCCATCCCAATGTATCATCATAAATGTTGACTATGATTTTCTTTAAATTGTTGTGCTCCTGAGAATATGATACAATTAATTCCAGCCTGAAATCAACAGGTACAAACAAATTTATTATAAAACTAGCTGTACCCAGCCATGCGTTGCTGTGGCTGAGTCTGGTAAAAGCGTGTGTTGCTTTTACGTCCAACAGATGGTGCTGTTTTCAAAAAAGCATGTTTTACCTGTCACAGGTGTGACATCTATATAATATAGGTATATAAAAACACGCGCGTATTCGAATGCAACGTTGTGTCAAAATGTCAAAGCAATCAGTGAAGAACTTTCGGAGATTTAAAATTTTGAACAAACAAACATTTACATTTTTATTTATATAGATTATTTGGATTTTTACCCTGCTGCTTGGTTTTTCTTAAGAAATCATAGTCACAGAACAATAGATTTAGACCAATAATATGGACATCTACCCCACAATTCTTAATCACAAAACATTTTTGAAAAATCTCTATACAGAGAAACACATTTTTCATTTTCATTTCTTAATGTTTCAGAATGGGTTTTCCATAAAACACTATTGTAATTTCATAGAGAAAGCCTTAAAAGAAAACCATTCAAGTTTAGTTAAAGAGAGTAATTAATAGTGCAATGTAGGCTTGACACCCACCTCTCTCTTTGCGTTCAATAAAACATACTCCAGCTGTGGGTATGACCACAGCCCAAAACTTGATCTATCAGTTGCTTGTCTTTAATCAGTATTAAATAAGTTTGCTTTTTCCTTTATGTTTATATTTTAATGTATTTATAAACATGAGATAATGACATACAGATATTCCAGTACATAAAGTCCCCTCTACTATAATTATATTCATTTTCTGAATGATAAGCATACTCTTCAAGTTATCATTTGACACCATGCAGATGTATCACATATCAAGAAGCTGATGAAATTCCATCGAATACAAGTTTCTGAAGAACCTTTATTCAGAAGAATGAAAATGAAAATACATAATGAGTCAAAATTATTTGATCAATCAAATACAAATAGGAACTAAACATACATAATCTAGAATAAAAATTCTGATCGGATACTCTCTGCTCACAAGGCAGTAACCCTGGAAAAAGTGCTTGCCTTTTTCTGAGAGGGTGTCCTTCCTCATTTCTAGGATCCAATGGAGGCAAGAGCTTCTTCAACGGACTGTGTATTCCTCTCCCCAGTATAAATGCCAGACTGTAGCTGGTCATCCTTCACAACAGCCCAGGACATCTGGTTGGTAGAGAACTTAGCAGCCCACTCCCCTGAACTGCTAATAACAATGACGCCGCCTAAGCCTCCAACTCTGGTTTTCATACAATCTAGAGCAGCATCAGCAGCCTCTCCTGGTGATTTCCCTGAAAAATCAGAATATGAAACATGCCTTAATTTAAAAAGAAAGAAATGAAAGGTACACTTTAAATGAGTAAACTTTTTTTTTATATGTACTACTATTTAAATAGATAAACTATTTTAAATGGATAAACCAAGATACATTTTGCATTCTGCCAACAAACCTTTGAGGTAACTTTTGAAGGGGGTGCCTTCAAGTCAAGGTTTGACTCCTGGTGATGGCCTTGGCTAATCCTTTCAGTTTTCTTGGCAAAGCTTTCAGAAGTAGCTTGCCATTGCCCATTTCCTAAGGTTGAGATACAGTGACTAGCCCAAGATTACCCAGCTGGCTTTGTGCTTAAAAGTGGGAATAGAACTCATGCTCTCCCAGTTTCTAACTGGTGCCTGAACCACTACACCAAGCTGGCTCTCTTGAGGTAATTAACATTGATTAACAAAATACATGTCTGAAAGGAAGCATATCCAAAAAACTATGCCATTAATTCTATGAACAGAAGGGCTCTTTAGACTCGTGGCTTTCAAAACAAACACAGGGGGGGGGGAAGCTTTCCAATTCAGGTGGACGAACTTCTTTTGAAAGTGAAGAGCGCTTCAAAGGAGATTGTGATCTGACAGCTGTTCATCACAAAGGAAGCTGGGATGAAAATTTCCATTGAGGCTCCTCATTCCCATTGTTTGTGACTACTACATCTTTTTAGTTTGATTCAGTGGAAGGCTTCCTGCCCAAATCTAATTCAACGTATGTTTTCCTAGATTTGATTAATTCCTGACAATCATGCACCCTGCAGCTTAAATGACTACAAATGAAGTCTTCTAATAACTAAAATTATTCTGCCAGCTGTTTTAATGACAAAAAACTTTCTGTTACTGAAAAGAAGAGTGGATGAGTCTGGCTGTGTCATAGACATATAGGCTTACTTTTCTGGTTTTGTTTCCGCTCCCTTCCAAATGAATGGTTTAATAAAGATCGGTCATTAATATTCTGGACAACTTTCAAGAACATCATTTTATCACTGAGAAATAAGACTTCTATTATTAAGCTAATAGTAGCCTATTGAGCCTATTAAGCATGGCTACTATAATGCATGTTAACTCTGAACATTTTATTAAGTTCCAAGTGTACAGGAAGCTCAAAACAATAAACAAAATAAGAAAGCAAGAAGCATTTAATTAACTGTGTAATTAATTCAATGTCCAAAAACAAAAACTCATTGTGTGCGCAAAATAATTTCAATGCTATCTTTCAAGATTCTTTTTTTTCCCAATTTATAATCTTTATTTGGAAGTAAGCCACTTGACTTAAAAATATAAAATGATATCAGGTATGAAGTATAATCCAGGGGTCCTCAACCTTGGCAACTTTAAGACTTGTGGACTTCAACTCCCAGAATTTGATTTTCTTCTTCCTCCTAATAGAAATGAAACCCCAGAATGGAAACTATTCCTATGCTTATAAACCAGAGCCCCAGCCTTTAAAACGCCAAGAAAGAGGAAATATTCACTCTAGCAACAGCTGCTAGAGCAAAGTTTAGCTATTCTAATTCTGTGAGGGAGCAATTCAGTTCTTAACCTTCAGCTGAGCATATCCTTAGGCCACACTGAATTGCCTAACTTTATCTGAAAAATGCTGATTATATCATATATTTCTGTTATAATAGTCTAAACATGAACATAAGCCTACGCATCCATACTGATTGAAAGCTCTTCTTTGGCTGAAAATATTGAACCAATATTGCCAGCTAAAGTACCTTGAAGTGTGATTTAACGTGGAAACATTTCTTAGCTGTCTCACTGTTGCAGTAGGACCAGTTTATATTTTCCATGTTATCATATCAGACCTGTGTATATACACGGACATATCCATGCAAGCCAGAATCATGCTGAGAATCAATGTCATATTAATAGCAGCTACCAGCTTTCAGGTTATAAACCTCATGGCTGTTTTACAACAGATTCTGGAATATTTTCTTACCCAAATATTACTTCGACATTTTATATTTTATAACATTTTTTTAAAAGATGCTGAAAATGTATCCCACCCCTTCACATAAACTTCATTTATGTCAGGCTTCAGCAAAAAAAGCTAGCCCACTTGTGCTGTTTGTAAAAAACACAAACAAAAAAACAACAACTAAGCACTGTCAGATCTGGCCAATTCTAGACCAGGAAATCCCAGGACTAAGAACTCAGAAGTTCAAAAACAGGGACAACCATTTCTACATATCTAAGAAAGTGTTGCTGTGACTGTGCCTAGCCATTGGAAATCAAGCATGTCTCAGGAAGATTTTGTGTTTTCCTGATATTGCACAACTCTGTCTTGAAAGTTCTACAACAGAAGAAGTTTCTTCATTGCTTTTGTAAGGTTGCAGGAACACACAGTATCAGCCTATTTCCAGGGTTACGTTCAACTTCCTATAAACGGGCTTTCACTCACACTGCTGATTTTTTCTTCCTCCTCATCCCTGGAGCTCCCTATCTGCTCAAAGGATAGGAGTCACGCCTAAGAGCGGATTTAAAAGGAAAGAATCTGTTCTGCTGGCTGATGCTGTTCTAGATGGATACCACTGGACTTCAGTACCACTGCTACGATGAAAGCAGTGTTTTTCATATGGATTTCCTTTTTTTACTAATTGGAATAGTACTTCAATCCTCAAGATAGAATTATTGTAGAAGGAATTCTTTTTCCATACATGAAGATGTCTTAAGGAACTCACTGAATATCCTTTAATTCCTTCTTTAGTATTTAACTTAAAACTGGAACAATTTGCCTGTATTGTAAGGTAATTCAAAGAACATTTAGACATAAAAGTGGCTAACATAAAAAACAGCTTTTATATGCTGATAAAATATGCCATGTAGTAATTATAAATGTTCTACACTAAGATTTATTGATATGGTACAACAATATGGTATGTTGTCAGGCTATGCAGTTAACAGAAGCAACTCTCATACACTTCTGATAGGCTCCATTAAATCTATGGAAATTTGTTTGATTAGGTATCTTAAATATTTGGAAATAATTATTTCAAGAAAACTTTTTTCATTTGGAGATGAAAATATATTAGATTGTTTGTATCTGATTAGTGTTTATGACAGTAGTAAAGATTAAAGAACCGATGAGTAGACCAGTCTCTTGGAATCTCTTCAGATAAGATCAAGAGAGGAGATCACCCACATATACTGCATGCAGATAATTATTCCTTGTGAGGACACTGTAAGACAGTGGTTTTCTGCCACGTTTGAGTGCTGGGAAAGGACAGGAATCAGCCATAGCTGAAGGAGACTTTTGAAGACTGGAATCAGAAAATAGTAGCCACAATATCAACAATTCAGTAATGATGTCTGTTAATGAGGGTCTGCTTCTATGGATCAACTATGTCCAAAATATCTTATTGAAAAAATGTCAGATATAAAAGAAATTTTAGCTGACAAGATAGAGATGGTATCAAAAGTGGATTTACAACTGACAGGCCAAGAGAATGATTTAGAGAAAGGTTATTACATGGGATCTTTAAAAAAAACCTTTAAAAGAGAAATACAACGGAAAAATTAAGAGAGTAACCTGCATAGCTTTTTTCTATTTGAATTAGAAAAGAGGCTTATTAAAGCCTTGAAGAACTCTGTGCAATGGGACAAAGAAGAAACAAAGAGAAATCAAATCCTACAACTATATTTGACTGAACTACAAGTTAAGGCTATTAGAAGTAAAAGGAAGGAATATAAAATTGGTTGATCAAGTTTAAGCAAGATATGTTATTACTTTTGGTAACCCTTTATGGACTTTCTCATCACAACTGAAAAGATGATGCTTTATGGATTTGTCCATAAGAGAAGGGATGTTTATGGAATAAAGTGATAATTGTTTCTACCAATTAAAGGGGGTGAAGAATCACTACGTTTGTATTTGTTGTGATGAAGGTTGGAAGTCACTTCTCTATATATTTCTTTTTTCTTCCGTATATTCTTTCTTTTCTTTTTTTCTTGCATTTTTTACTCTTTTCTATTATCTTTTCTTTCAGATTTAGTATTAGATTTTACTATTATAATCAACATTATTTTATAAACAGATATAGAAATATATGAAAGTAGAACAATCCTATGAATATATGGGGTGTATATTGCAAAAATATACATTAACTCCTATGTTAGTACTCTTAACTTATTTTAAATAGATTGATTATTAAGAAATATGGGGGGAAAAACCCCTTATCAGGCCTACATAGTAGAACCTGAACCGCATAGTATAGATCACATCTACTTTTATTGAAATAGCTATAGTAACAGAATCTTGCAGGTCTGAATGTGCTTCCCCTCCCATTACTTTATTTTTGTGTGAACTAGAAAGAAGATTGTCCAAAACATTTTCTCCAATTAATTTCTTGACCTAGGCTGAAGCCCCAGTTATTTGACCATTGTCTCTTGTCTTCCTCTGGTCTTTAAGGGCCATTCCCTATGCCCCCTAGACCCCTATATTTTTTTTTAATCTAAACTGCAGTTTTTGATGGTTTTATGATTATTGCAGGTAGGTGGTCTTAGAAATCAGTCATAAAACAAACAAACACACTTTCATGCTTTTTAACTTTATCACTGGGCATATGTTTTAACTTTTGTTTAGCTTTTGTAGTGACATTGATGGTCCTTTTACAAGAAAAGACAGCATCACCCTAAATTGGCAGCAGTGGTGGGATTCAGCAGGTTCACACTACTTCAGCAGAACCGGTAGCTAATTTTTGTTGCCCAGGCCCAGAATGGCATCCACACAGAGAACCGGTTGTTCACAATCAGTCTAAGACTGATTGGCAGTCTTAGACTGTTTGTGTGTTCATTCTCTGCTTCTAAACAGGATCTCTATGGACAGAATGGAAAGATTGACCAATATTATTCTGTGTGATCAAGGTTTACTGCTGCATTTAAAAACTGAGCTGATGCTTTAAAAAGGCTATTATACGTATGGGTTTGTTTTCTGTGTTTATTTTTCTTTCTGTATTCCTTTCTCTCTATTTATTAAGGCAATTTGTAAAGAAAGTTTGACTTTCCAGTCTCTCCTTCAGTTCTAAAATTTCCTAGTGGTCTCCAATCAAGCCTCAGCCAAGGTTAGCTAGACAACATCATCTACAGTAATAAAGAATACAAAACATACATGATTTATTTTAAATTCCTATCCAGCCATGAGGCTTTCTTTGTGACTCTGAGCCTGTCTCAGCCTAATCTATCACACAAGATCATAGTGAAGATAAAGGTGGTTGAACAAGTGCCAGATATTATGCCTTGAGTATCTGAGAGAGGAATGTTTTAATCTAATCCTCCCAAAGAAACAGAAGCAACCTTCTCTGCATCCCATAACTAAAAAGCTAAAACAGGGGGCCCTTGAGGCAGCAAACTCTTATTTAAAACACAATTGTTATCTGATCCCAATGCAGACAACCTTTCATGTGAGAGGAAATGATGTTCCAAATTAATGTGGCTAAACATTTGCTGTCAAGTTGCATAAAACAGAGATCAAGTGTTCTTTAATAAGAGAGCCAGGAGATCAAGGGCTTTGCAGACAATATATCTACCAACATTGTTTTGCAATTCAACATTTTCTGTGAAAACTCTTTGAAGTTCTCAAGTAACACAAATTTGCAACAGAATCACACTTTTCCCTGTAAGTAACTATATTCAGGAAAAAAGATTGGATTAACATGTGTACAGACTGTAATAGAAGTCAAGTGTTTAGATAACCCAAAAGGTAAAGTTTTCCATGGTCAACCATAGTTAGATTATGTTATGGTCACATGAACATCCTATTGCCAGCTTTTATCAGCACTCTTCCACATCAATATTCAGATTAGAACATTTGCTTTCAATGAATGTATTATATTTAAACAGAAGTCAGAGAAAAAAATGGTACTTAAAACAGATTTAAAAGACTTCAGCAGTGAGTAATCTAAACTCTTCAAGCATGTTTGTTGCTGATTGTGAAAGTATGACATGAACATTTTACAGTCATGCTTTTTTACTTATAACCAACACTTCATTGCATGTAACTATTTTTTAAAATAGGATTGTTCCAGTACATGTTGGTAGAATGTCACCTTAGAGTGATTAGACTGAAATCAACACAAATATCTGAAAAGAGAAAATGCTGTTGTTTGGAGATGATCCCTGAGGCCAGCTGTCATTAGCTTGGTAACATCCAAATATATTTCAATTCCTATAATTCCCATCCAGGATGGCTTCATGGAGAGCACTAGACTGGAAAAGACTGACCTAAAATATTAAATTGTTTCATCTTCTCTTTACCAATTCCATCAGTTACACAAATACAAGGTGCAAGGAGCCTTGTGTTAGTTTATTTGATATACTAATAAAGCCAATAGATGTTCAAGATAACAAATAAAATTCATGTAAAAATAGAATGATTCAACATTCTCCAAACAAAACTTAAAAAATGAAGGAGCTGGAATATTTCTTGCAGTAAAACCATAAATTGGCATTAAAAATACTTAAAACTTGACAAATAGGAAAGGCCACTAATGATGACTGCTGATAGCAGAAAACTTCATAGGCCCTTTACTCTGAATGGCAAATTAGAGCCCCAAACATTGGCCCGTTAAGAGTAGCAGATGCTAGAACAAGCATCTGAATTTATATCAGATTGCATTTATGTGTATTAGCTCCAAAATCACTGTTTGTTGCATGTCCAACGTGCTTCCAACATGATGCATCCTCAGACTGAAATAACCAACGACCCTGTTCATCAACTCACTGGGTGAAATATTACTCCTTCATGCTTTATATCAGGGATCTTCAAACTTGGCCCTTTTATGACTTGTGGACTTCAACTCCCAGAATTCCTCAGCCAGGCATGCTGGCTGAGGAATTCTGGGAGTTGAAGTCCACAAGTCATAAAAGGGCCAAGTTTGAAGATCCCCTGCTCTATATAATGTACAACTTCTGGAACATCAGGATATACCTTGCTCCATATGGTAAAGAGTAAGTCTTGCCAGAATCACTTTCATAATGCTCTCTCCATGGCCAGTGGTGGAGGTGGCACCAACGCTATTATCTGCATAACCACCACTTCCTAGGAAAGAAAAAGATAAAAAAAACAGCATTTTAGTAACCCATTTCTCCAATCAATATCTATGTATTACATGGTATAGGCCAGGGATAGTATCAACTATATTTTGGGGTCCTATTAACAATGAAGGGGCTCAAGCAGAATGCAATTGCCTCAACTTTCATGAAATTATAAAGAGAAGGTAAACGGTGGAAAAGAACACCCCCACCCAATGCGCCCCCAGAAAAGAACGCCTACGAGGCTGTTTCCATGAGAAAAGCATGTTCAGAGAACATATTTTAGTATCTGAACAAACATTCTCAAAATATTTCACACTTTCCACTCCATCAACTTATCTCGATATATGGCATTTCCTAAAAGCTATGAAATCATCTCATCTTAAGAAAACATGCCGTTCAATAAAAATAGCTTTGTTTGAACGACAAACCAAACAGTTGCTTGCTGGTTCCACTTCAGTACTTTACATTTTCCCTGTTCAGATTTAAAAGGATCTGGTTCTATGTGGAGCAGGGATGGCCTCCAGAAGACCTACAAACTCTTATTATCTCTGGAATGCAGTCACTGAGCATTATGAAATCATTACTGGCCACGTGCATTTTATGAGAATGAGAAGACGCATCTATGGTATTGTTCTACCTATGCATGCTGTATCACCAACGCGGCCAAGCCGTTTGTTAGTAAGTCCTCCTGTTGATGTTGCACAAGCTACATTTCCTGCACTGTCGATAGCAACCGCTCCAACTGTTCCAAGGTCTCTGCCAAAAATAGCATTTCAGACAATTAGCTGCAGATCTCAAAGCATTTGACAAACAAACACAGCATCTGTTAGCATAGGTAGCTATTTTTCAAGTATGAAATGACAATAGGCCGTCTTCAGACTGAAGCCATGAGTCTCCAAGCAGGTTCACTTAGAGCATTTAGCAAAGCAACACAGCCAGGTTACTGCACTATGGGGTTTATACTTAAGCTGCCACAGACTTTAACTTATGTAAAATTATTAGAATCCCAGATTTCTACTCAGCTTAAAGAAGGGGTCTTCAAGCTTGGCCCTTTTATGACTCGTGGACTTCAACTCCCAGAATTCCTCAGCCAGCGTGCCTGGCTGAGGAATTCTGGGAATTGAAGTCCACGAGTCATAAAAGGGCCAGGTTTGAAGATCCCTGGCTTAAAGTTTTTCCTCCTTTCTCACAAATGGCCTTTGACAGCTTGGATAAATAGGATCTTTCTTGTGGACTACGATCATTCTCATTTTCTTGCAATTGCTTTGGGCTGCTACGGCTACTAAATCCCACAAATTGCAATTCTATCATTAAAATAAATGAAAAGTCCATATTTTTAACAACAAAATCCTTCCAGATCAGTTCAAATACCTGTTTAAATGACTGGTCTCAAACGCAAATCATTACAAATGCTGCAGGACTGGATAATTAGACCAAAGGCTACAACACTGAGGTCATTTTATATATTGATAGAACTGTCTCTCAAAATCTTGTGAAGTGCATCAAAAAGAATTGCAGCACACAATTGTACGACACCTCTCTCATTCTCTCAGTACCTTTCCAGTGCTGTTGATGCTTAATTAACAGATGTGCAACAAGGCTGCCTCTATCTTTCTGAAGAGCAATTTTTATGTGAACTGAGATCTGTGGAGAACATAGTGCAAGCAGAACCTGCTTTCTCTCTCGTTCCACAAGATGCAAAGAGAGGTGGTGTGAAGCAATGCCATGTATTGACAATAGTGAATTTCAACAGCCATAATCATAGCTGTGTCGTTTTGTTAACACTGGAGTTTGGCATGTAGCTGCACAGAGACCAGCTGCAATAGGGAAGGCATTATCCCACCCCATTCCTTCCACAGCTGGTTCCAGGTTTGCAGATCCCACCATTGTTCTCCTACGCAAGGCCTCCCTTCCAGCTGAAGTGCCCTGGGAGGGTGAAGGAACACGGCCATCGCAGTGAGGGTCGAAGCCAAAACTTGATCCTCCTGCCATTCATTGCCGCAGATTACAAATTTAGAATATGATACACCCGGGTAGGGTAGGGTAGCTGCACTCTTAGCCTTGCACTTCACAGCCAAGACTGCCACATACCTCCCGATTAAGGCTTTAAAGGGAAAAACACAGCTCCATTCCTGAGTTGGGCTGTGATAGTGCAAAAGTGCAGGGCTAGGAGTTGCTATCCAGTCTGTCCCACCAGGTACAGAGTCACAGTTTCCATTCTAAACTGGTACCAAAGAAATGCTACAACAGGGGTCTTCAAACTTGGCCCTTTTATGACTTGTGGACTTCAATTCCCACAAGTCCACAAGTCATAAAAGGGCCAAGTTTGAAGAGCCCTGTGCTACAACAATGGCAGGTGCAGCCATCTCTCAGCCTGCACCACCAAAGCCATTAAGTCTGAGCCTCTTCTACATTGGCATCCTTCTGCACTACACTACTACTGCCTGTCACTCTCAGGCTACAAGGTGTGAGCTGCAGTTTTGAGATCTTGCTCCAAACCCAGTTTCTTGTTTCACACAGCCACAAAAGTTAAGAGGAAGACAGGAGAAATTGCATGTAGCAGCTTCCAGTAGTTCACATTCAGAAGAAATACTCCCTCTGAATTTGGGGGGAGAGATTATGTGGGTTGATTGCCCTCTTTAATTTAATTCTCTTCATTCAAGCAGACAGAACACCAATACTGATAGTTACTTTTGACATTCTTGAGGGTTCCAGTCAGCCTCAAGGTTTTTCTTCCACCTCTCCAATGACCTTTCAGTGATTAATTTTTCTCCAGGAACCTCAGGAATTCCCATGGCCCTAGCAAAAGCAGAGGCCCCTTGGTCAGTCAGCAACATGTGGTCCGTCTGAAGGAAAGAGGAGAGAAGCAGCCACTCAAATTGCTGCACAAATCAGTTTCAAGCCATGTACATACTACCAAATAGAATGGCATTTCAGCAGTGTCCTGTATTTAATGTTGTTTGCCAAATACTTGCTGCAAATGCTATAGCAGTGGTGGCAAACCTATGGCATGGGTGCCAGAGGTGGCACTTAGAGCCCTCTCTGTGGGCACGCATGCCGTCGCCTCAGTCCTAGGCCTTCAGCTGGGTTTTATAAAACTTTTTCGCTTTAGGCCTCCGCCAAAAAAAAAAAAGGTTCAATCAGTCAATTTCAACTTCTCGCAGGGAAAAAAAATGTCTTGCAAATTTGGAATTGATTGATTGAACTTTTTAATCCCACACAGTCTGCCGTTACCACTGCAGCCACGCCCACCCAATGCACCACGCCCACCCAATGGGCCACACCCACCCAGCACTCGACGATGCATAAGTGGGTTTTGGGTTGCAGTTTGGGCACTCGGTCTCTAAAAGGTTCGCCATCACTGCTATAGCACAAAGAAGGAGGTGCACATTTAAATACCTTCATTCATTTCTGCCTTCACTTAGAGAAAAATCCTGAACCTGAGTAAGAATGCCACCAGAAATTGATGATGTGTCAACATAATTTTGATTTCTTTATTTAATTCCAGGGATAGAATTACACATCTACTTTCAAGAGAGGTATGAAAGAGATGGATGATGTTTTTGCAATAGTGTTTTTTTAAAAAAAAAAAATCCAGAAGAAAATCTGTGGAGAAAATCTCTGGAGAAGAGCTGAACAACTTGTCAAGGGAAAAGATTCGGTCCTCTGTAGCTTTATGCTCACTTCTAAGGTATGTTCAATGCAAGAAACCGCAGAATTTTATGTTGATGTGAAGCAGAACACCTTGAAACAGAACTGGGTTTTTTTTTTAGCCATGCAGAAATTGGGACTTTCCTTTGCTGAACTTCTATTGCAAGATGCTCCCGTCTTTCACATTGCCTTCAAGCTGAAGGCAGTTTCATAAGGACATACACCATTTATGCCACTTCTCTTCAAGTATCCCAGTTGTGTCCCCTGATTTTATTATATCGCACTCTACCTAATAACCTGCTCATAACATATGCCAATTGTTTCTTTTGTTAAGGAAAGTGCCACCAATGATACTAGGATCACAGTGTGTGTGTGTGTGTGTGTGTGTGTGTGTGTGTGTGTGTGTAGGCACAGTGTGTAAACTTTGCTACTGTACTAAACCCTTTGTACTATCATGCACTATCATGACAAGTTTCCTGGGATTAAGGAAATAAAAGTATTTATTTTGTTGGAGATCATTTTGAACAAACAAAACTTGTGAATCCCCAACAACAGGCAACAGAGATTGCCAGGTGCTGGAGTCCCATGCTGAGAGCCATAAATCAACTTATGTAAGGCAGAAGGATTATAAAGACAGTTTATTCTTATGAGTCTAGAATGTTCCACACCTGTAGAAAAAAAAAATGCCTTGTGCACTACTGCCCTCTTCTGCTTTTGCTTTCAAAAGAAACTCAACAGCTTTCATGTGAAAAGAAAGTCACTTTACGTTCAATGGGCCTAATTTTCAGACAGCATATATAATACAATAATTAATATTCTTAGCGACTAGACATTCAAATAAAAATAATTTTGGGATAAAGCAGTACATTTATTAGCCAACTGAAGGCATATGTGACACTTCATTGTTTTTAAATGAATTGCTAGAAGCATTTCAAAAAGATCCTAAGCTTTGGGTGGCATATTGTTATCCATATGTAAAATGTGTTAATTTTAGTTGAATTCATGCTCCCAATTCAAAAATACATAGCTTTATACATATACACACTTAAAAGACAGCAATAAAACCTGTATTATATTTTTAATTATAAAAGTAAATCATTGAAAATATATGAAAATTTAAGAAATTGTTTGCATATATTTCATCTTCAGCTTGCTTAACAAGCATGAGATTTCATTTAATTCCCACTGTATATATATACCTAGCTTTTGCTGAAGTCTTCTTGTGAATCTAAAAAGCTACTCTCTTGAACTGTTATAAACTATATGCTTTAATTATGAAAAACCCAAGGTTCAGTTTTACATTTGTAACAGTCCAAAATACTGGATAAATTGAATCTGCCAATACAGTGTCCCTGACACTTTACTTAAAGAATTGTGCATAGCAGGGGGTAAAATGGCTCCAGGATGCATGTAGCTCAGTGGTTCTCAACCTTTTTAATGCCGCGACCCCAACCGGTCGTAAGTCGAGGACTAAACCAGTCGTAAGTCGAGGACTAAACTGGTCGTAAGTCGAGGACTACCCAACCGGTCGTAAGTTGAGGACTTTCCCTGCCTGGGAGCGCCGCGCATGCGTGGTTCCGCCCCCTGCGCCGGCCGAGGCGTAGCTGGCAAGCGGCAGAGACGGAGCAGGCCGACCACCAGCTGGCCCAGCCCAAGGGCCATGGCACCCGCCGAAAAAGGGGGAAAAATGGCAGACAAAAAAAATGGTGGACAAAAAAAATGGCGGACAGCCTTGCTTGGCGACCCCCATGAAATGGTCGATCGACCCCAAATGGGGTCCCGACCCACAGGTTGAGAACCACTGATGTAGCTGAATGTGAATATAACCAAGAATATGGAAAATGTTTTCCTGCATTCCGTTGGAATCTTGGTTTTTGGGCTATTAAATATTACTTAAAACTAGATATTAAAAATGTTGTAATGTTGTTATTTAGTTAATTGCATTCTACCTTCTTCAGATTTTTCTCAAAGCTTAGCATGGAGTGTGGGGGCATCGCAGAATGTATGTTTATTAATCAGGCATACATCAGGAGTTACAAATTCATATTATAGTAATTGCAACTTTTGTTTAGTACAGAGATGGGCAACTTTTTGCTCTTGTTTTTGTCATACAGCAGAGGATCTACAGAATGTTCAGGTATCTTTCTTTTTTTAGTGAGCTAACACTGAACAAATTGCAAGTTAATTTAAAGATTGCAATGTAACATCCATGTTTGTACAATATCTTCTGTGCATACCTCCCTAAAATGAATGTGAATTGGCTCCAAACATGCTAGATTTTTCAGTGCAAGTCATGAAAATGTCTCTATGGGCGCCTCCATATTTTGGTAGATTTCTAGATGCTATCATTTTAATACAGTAGATCTATCCTGAGGAATTAAAAGCTTGTGAAACTGCCTGACTTAATGAATAGGATCTCAAAGGATTGCTTAACAAGGTAGCCTCAAGAATGTTGCTTGTCCAAATCCTCTTGAGTCAGTAGAGGGAGCTAATATGGTGCCCTGATAGGATACGAAGCCTTGATCATTTTAGAAACATATATGGTACAGCAGAACAACACTCTCAAAGAACCAAGCAGAATTTGTAACAAAGATTTTAATAACGTGATTACCATTTGACATTTTTAAAAGGAATGCCACATTTCAATTTTTCACAAGTTAGAAAGCTTAAAATCTCTACTAAGATAAAATAAATCTTCCCACATTAACACATGATAGTAATATGCTTTTATATGTGGGACACGGAATGTATCAACAGCACAGGGCATTCAATCTGTTTTTAACCGGACTGCTTTTAAATTCCCCTTTTAAAGTATATATTCTCCCTGTAATGATATCTTTATTTTTTGCAAACTTGGAGCACCTCCAAATCTACCAACACTTCTACTTTGTGCATAGATTGTACAGTTTTGACTTCACAAACACAAAGGAAAAAGGAGTATGCTAAAAGTATATGCATAGTCTAGCACAATTAGTGCAAAGCATGACATAAAATGCTAGAAAGCTTAAAGTGTAGTAGAAAGGTGCTGGAATATTCTGGAATATATTAAGAAAAAGACTATAGGAGTTCAAGCACTTTCTTGTACGTTATAGTTAAAAAGATGTTTAATGTATCAGAGGCTAAGATACATGTGAATAGAAAAGTGAAACTCCAAATATTTTAAGTTCAGAAGCAAACTCAGCTACATTGAACATAAAATTTCATGCAGGAAAATACTGTTCTCAGGATAGTCCGGGAAATCATAGGCTAAGAATTTGGTATAGTTCAGCTGCTTGAACATATTCTTGGGAAGTGACCGACTATAATTTAAAGCTACTGTAATTTATCCTATTTTGTTCACTTTTGTCTGGATATACTCTTTAATTGCTTATTTGAAGATAAGAAAATTTAATTGCTGGTCAGCATTTTTATAGAAGATAAACCAATAAAATTAGTAAAGGAAAGTCTAATCTTAAATTTATTAGGTGATATAGGTAAAAGCAATAACCTTTGAAAAGGCATTTTGGCAACTGCAGTTGAATACACCTGGAGCACTTCAAATTAGGGAAAGCCCTTATAAGTGCATTTAAACCCCTGAAAAATCCATTTAAGATTATAGGAGATTATTATGCTCTCTATTAGCCACTGAGCACTTACATACCATTACCAACCCTAAATAAAAATAGTCTGCCTGCCTTTAAGTTCATGGCCTCTTAGAGTGATTGCAATTTCTTCTAACAAGCTATAAAATTTGTTCTATGCACAACATGGCAACAAGGAGGAAGAATAGACTATGCCACTACAGAATACAGGGGTATTGTGTTTAACATCCCAAGAGCGAACAAGCTTTTTGCAAGCAGAACACACGAAAGAGAAACATCTGAGTCTAGCCCAAGAATGGGGAGCTTGTGATCTACCAGATGTGACTGAACCTTAATTCTAAACATCATTAACTGTTTGGCTCTGCTGGATGGTAGTACCAATTCTAGCATTTAGCAACGTTTGGCAGGTCAGAGGCTCCCTTTTACTGGCCAAGCTATATACCAGCTTTCTGTTTATATGAAACCATTAAAAAACGCAATTATCACCTGGATTGCAGCATTTCTTCCTATTATATCTTTATACAAGGCCAGAGGTCACAAAGCACCATAGTACTTCAATCAAACCACAAAGGGAAACTGATTTTGCTGAAGATCACCCTTGGCATACCTTTTCCATTACAAGACGAGCAAGCTTTATTGGGTTAGAAATACATTTCACGGCTGATACTGCTCCTGAGGCTAGATTTTTCCCATCCATGATAATAGCATCCATTTCTACTTCACCCTTCTCATTTAACACAGAGCCACAACCTAGGAATCAAGTAGAAAAGATATTAATATACCAACATGAAGCTAAACAATTTTACACTATTTTAATTCATTTGTTGTTCAATACTCTTTAAATGACAACTTTTACGATATTAAAATCCTTGCAGGATTTAGTGTGAATTAGTGAACTAGTGTAATTAGTGTGAATCCTAACAGTATATATAAAAATTCTGTACCTTTTCTGTTCATGATATATATCTCATCCCTCACATATCAGAATATCTACTGCAAAGCTTGTTTTTAAAAAAAAAAAAAACCTGAGGAAATTGGAATATATATGCTTTGTCAATAATATAAACAGTAATGTCAATAAAAGTAACACTAATAAAAAAACTATACTTAGTAAAAGTAATACTAATAAAAACTATATCTATGATCAAAATTTCATTCCCATTTAATGTTTTGCAGCTTGAAATTTAAAGCACCAAATGCCAAACATACTTGGCACAATCCTGAAGAATAGGGATTTTGTTTAAAGCAAAATAATATTTTAGGATTTGTGGATTTTTAAGCATTCATTTAATTAGATATTGAAAATACCTTTTGTATAAATTTCCTTTAAAACTAATTGGAGGATATATCCTTGAACAGCATTCATCCTAGCAAGAAATTAGCAGGTAAGGAAATGAAGGGATGTGAAAGATAATTTCACCTTTTTGATTCCCACAATTGAGGCTGTTATTAAGGGCATACAAAAATGGAGTAAAAGAAAGAAAAAAGATGTCTGCTACAAAGAACTGGGTAGTAAGAATTTCAGTTTGGAAAATTAAAAAGTTACCTGCATTAAAATGTGGATCATCTTCCATTAATACCACAGCTTCTTCAACTGCATCTAATGCAGTTCCTCCTTGTTTAAGGATACTGTAACCTTTCAATGCTGCTCTGATGACACCAGAACGACTTCCATCTTCCCGCTCTTTAAAGATGCGACCAGCTCCACCATGAACAACAATAACTGGCTTCATGCTGTTGAATGTTTTTCTGGTTAAAAGAATGTAATTATTCCTTGGAACTATATTTTCTTAAGGAGTGAGTGTCAAAGTCCAGTCTTATGCTCTTGAGTTCCAATGAACTTCCTTAGTTAATAATCACATTGTAACATTTTTTAACAGGCTTATGGTCTTTGTTAATCGCTTAGAAGTGCTGTGCGCATACAAAGTTTGAAGTATGTCTTCTGAAAATTTTGAAGTATGTGCAAGCTGCATATATTTGAGGCATATATAATCTTAAAAATTATTTAGCAGATACCTGTTATTTTTTTTAAAAAAAAATTACATTAGTTGATTTTTCAGTTAGACTAAAATGTCTTTAGTCAATGATTCTAATAAACTACTTCATCAGTATCCTAATTACTATTCCTATTAAAAGCATTAAAGCATGATGTGCACTCCATCATTCTTTTGTGTTTTATTATGTCAACGATCTATGAATAATCTGTATGCCTGGCCTCCTGGTTGAAACAGGAAGTGTTTCACAAATGTTTACATTTATCAAGAAAAGTGTACAATCCTAGGGTTGAGTTTACAAGCTGAACTAAACCACACTGTGGTCTGCAATTTAGTATTCGGTGTAAACCCACTACTATAATTTAGTAGTACAAATAATCCATGATATTATGGCTTATACTGAACTATAATTTCAAAATCCTGGCTTAGCATGATGTGTGAAGCTAATCAATACCTTACTTTTTATCTAGATTTATACAATTCAAATAGCGTAAGATGCATCAATTGGTGAAAAAACCTTAATCAATTTTCACAACTTTCTAGGGCATGAGCCCTACCTTCTAGCTTAGAAAACTCTTTTCAGCAGTTTAGTATGGCTTCCATCAATGCAATTGATCGTATCTGTCAGTCTTTTATTGAAAATTCTAAGTGTGGAGGACTTCCGGTGGCAGGCGATTTCGCTGGTCGCAGCTGTTTGCTGCCTCCCGCCTGTTTTGCGTAAAAGCCGGTTTGACAGCCAGCATCAGCTGTCAAACGGCTTGATACCTTTCCCCTGGGCATAAGGGGATAGGTGAGCTGCCCGGGGTAGGAGTTGAGTTCCCGAGTCGTCCTATATGGACGATGTAGGCG